CTCCTACCAACGTGGCATAGTGTCACAGCAGTGCCAAGTGTGGTTGGGAAGTTAACAAAACAACGTGGCATAGCGGCACAGTAGTGCTACGTGTGGGCGGGAAATCAACGGGGGCTCAAAAGTAGTAGATGTAATGGTGGCGGGAGCTAAGGGTCTAACAAAAGCCTTATTTGTGAAATAAGGCTTTGCAGAGGCTTTTGTTGGACTTGATCCAGGACTATCATTGTATATACTACTCAAGCTGCCAAACACGGTCACCTATCCAGACAAACAAGTCATCCTTTAACTTATCGTAAAAGGTTTTCCTTCATTAGTCTTTAAGTTGATTATGGTTTAGTCAGTGAAAGATATATGAATTCCCTTCACGTGATTTACCAAACTGAACCAGAAATCAAAGTGACCAATGACTATTTTGTATAAAAATAAGCAGCCGACCTACTCCATTCAGGCAGCAGTTTACAGGGGCGGTGGGGTGGCCTAGTGGTTATAGCGATCGCTCGTCATGGCGAAGACCCGGGTTCGATTCTCCACATGGGTGCAAATATGTGAAGCCCACTTATGGTGTCCCCACCGTGATGTTGTCTGGAATATTGCTAAAAGAGGCGTAAAGCACTACTCACTCATTTACTCACTCACTCACTCACTCACTCACTCAGTACTGGTGTGTGAGTGAGTTAATATTTAACGTCACATCAGTAATAGTTCAGCCATATCGTGACGAGAACATTTGACATTGAAATGGAATATATTATTATAAAAACCTGCCGACGAAGGACACTAAAACAACTAGAATATCACAGATATACATGTAAAACTAGTAATTAAATCTAAAACATTTTAACTATAGGGGACGACAACTGAAGGTAGATCACCATACTAGGGACCATGGGGACTTAAAGTACTTTGCTACCTGCATGGACCCTAGATGGATTTACACTGGCGATTGTAGGCAAGTTTAGCCGAATATTAAGGAACAAAATACTACGTTTAAAAACCTGGGCCCTTATTCTCGAAACGTTCGTAGCCCTAAGAATTCTTAACTTTGATCGTAGCCAATCTGTTAAGAATGGACCTAAGAAGTTCGTAGGGCAACGAACGTTTCGAGAATAGCTAGCCTGGTACGTGAAAATTTACTTAGAAAGTTTTTTGGACTTACGTACCCTCTCAGGAGGACAATAATTTTACGCTACCAATCATAAAACTTTATCTATTTACAAAACATATATCAAAATTCATTTAACAAATCTATCTCTTTTAAAAAAACAATGATTAAATGATAATTAACTTTATTAAAAAGGTCCTTTACTGTTTTGATATTGAAATATTTATCCCTTACGATGGAGAATTCAACACAGCCAAGCAGGACATGCTTGACTGTGGTTCTCTCATCACAAGGGATACAAAACGGAGGATCCTCACCTTACAATAGGTATGCATGAGTATATATTGTGTGGCCAATACGACATCGTCGCATAATGACCTCTTCAAATCTGGACTGACAACCCAAGTAAGTGTAACCGATATTGTTTTATTCCACGTAACTTATTGATACCTACTTGGGTGTCCCACTTCTTCTACCTCAGATCACAGATGTAGGTTCTTATGCAAGCTTTGTAATCAGAGTATGGGGTAAGAAGTGGTGTCACATATTTGTTGAGTGCTGCCTTAGCAGCAAGATCGGCCATTGTGTCCCCAGAAATTCCAACGTGGCTGGGTAACCAACAGAGGACGATGTTGTATTGGCCAGTAGCAAGATCATTATATAGTTCAATAATTTCAATTAAAAGTGGATGTTTACAAGAAACATTTTTGATAGCCTGAAAAAAAGAAATAGAATCTGAAAAATTGACATATTGTTTATATTTGGGATGTGTGTTGATATATTTAAGCGCTGTTAATATGGCATTTGCTTCAGCTGTGAAAATAGAACTATCGCCTGGTAATCTAAAAGAGATAGTTCTGGATCCAATGACAGTGGCACAAGCAACTGCGCCACCATCCTTGGACCCATCTGTAAATATGGATTTGTATGTATTATATTTACTTTTCAATTGATTAAATTCTTGTTTATATTGAAATTCATTAGTTTGTGATTTCTGAAAGTCTGTCAGCGTTAGATCAACCCGTGGCCTCACTAGCTGACAAGGAGGAGAAGAAAGACGGCGGGAAGGAGATATATTTTCCAGCTCAATGCCGGCAGCAGAAAAGAATGGTTTAATTCTTAGCCCAAGAAGCGGAACAAAGGTGGAGGGCTGGTGTAAGCTGACGGTAGCAAGTGAGTACTTACACAATGCACTTCGAAATAGTATAGATCAAGAGATCTGGCCATTAACACGTTACATTTACTTGATCTAGCCATAAACCTTTTTTGATAAACGAACAGGTTCCATGCAACCTATGATTGGATAAATAGGCTCGGAGGTCGGACTTTGTGATTCTCCTTACTTGTTAGTATCCCAACTGACTTGATCGATGTTCACGTAATAATATGGCTGTCTAGTCACTGAACGTTATATAGACAATTGGAATAGTGCATGTAGCGGTGTTAAAACAAACTGCTTTTGGGTTAGCCTCAGGATCATGAAACTGTCGAAAGTTCATAATGCGTCTTAATTCTTAAAATTTAAACTTAAGACAAACGCGTGTCTTCAATCGGGGATCATGAAGCACAATCTGTGACAACATCTAAAGTCTAAAACCAAATTTAATCTTAAGTCTCAAGGATGCCCAAAAGTAGACTTAAGGCAAAATTTGTAGTGGAAGTGACTTGATTGTTCATTGACAAACGTGGAAATATTGCCTTTTATCTTACCTTCATGTAAAATACTTTACTTTCATTGGTCAATGACGCTTTAACAAGTTTCCGTGCCACCCCTCCCAGGAGGGTGACAACTGGAAAAATATTACCCACTACCACGGTAACCGCCAAGTTCTCCGCCGAGAAGATGAAGCGCTAACAATCGTATGACGTCATAATATGACGCATACCGTGCCCGGAGTTCGAAAACCGTTCGATCAGCTGTTTTTATGTTCACTTTGTACAGATTACTAAGGGTGAATAGTAAAGTTACCCACATGCACCAGCATAACGTTCCACGTCTTTTGTCTGGTAGATGACCTTGTCTGAACGTATAACGAAGACTGACTGACTGACTGAGTTTGGTTTTACGCCGCTTTTAGCAATATTCCAGCAACATCACGGCTGGGGACACAAGAAATGGGCTTCACACATTGTGCCCATGTGGGGATTCGAACCCGGGTCTTCGGCGTGACGAGCCAACGCTTTAACCATTAGGCTACCCCACCGCCCCATATAACGAAGAACATAGTATGCAACCTCACGTTGTATATATATTGTTAACGACGTCCGAAAATATGCATGTAGCCGTACCATAGGTAAATGTCGAGGACAAATACTTCTCGAAATGTAAACATGGGTTACGATGGAAGGTGCGGTTCATATGTTGCAGATGTAATATGTGCATGTGAATGTTTGACAGTTTACGAATAAATGTGGCTATATGTCAATTTGCTCCTGACCAAATTCATAATGTCAGTTTGTAGTATTACAAAATTGAGCATATTTTCCATCAACAGAAACTCCCGAATGTACCGTTAGCAGCGATGGGGACACTGACGCTCTTGACCGTGACACCACCCTACTACTCTGTGAATGTGACCGACTTCTATTGTTCCGAAATAACTGGCTTGAGTCTTATTACAGGTGCTGTCTTGGAGACGCTGAAGGTGAACCACAACGTCAGTGACGTCACTTCCGACGTTATTAACAAAACCGTCAGTATAAACCTTTCAAGTCTTGGCGACGTCAGAGTGAGGTTTACGTGTGATGACACTAGTTATAATCTGAGCTGTCGTGGAGTTCAAAGGTTGTTAAAAAGTGAGTTTGCATTTTTGGTTGGTCATCATTAGTTATTCGCATTTAAAAAATAGTACTTGAATCATTTATTTTCTCTATTTATATTCTTGGAATTAATGCACAGTAATGCTTTCTGATGAATTATATTTTCCTCTTCAGATGCTATGTTTATTTCTCATTCATTCATTCATTCATTCATTCATTCATTCATTCATTCATTCATTCCGTCATTCATTCATTCATTTGAAACTTTCCTTTCCATTACATTTGATATTATTCATCTGCTGCAACCAGGTCCACCACGGTGCAACATCAGCAGTGACACAGACACCAACGCTCTAGAACTTGGTACAGATCTCACCCTGACACTGGAACTCAGAGGGTACTACTGTTCTCAACAAGCTGGGTTTGATCTCACAACTGGCAGCGTCACAGACGTCTTGTTACAGAACCAGACATCGAACAACATCACAGACACTGTCCAGCACCACTCCTTCAACGTCACATCTGACCGCTTTGGAGACGTCAGTGTCACATTCAGATGTGACAACAGCAAGAGAACACTCTCTTGCGGCGGAGTTTCCAAACTCACAGGTTGGTGCTCTATCGTAGTACTATCATTGTAAGATGTTTATACAGGGAAAATCATTTGAAGAACCATCGAGCATAATTCTAAAACGATTTTAAAATTCAAATCCACTCTTTGTGCAAAAAAAAGGTTGATTGATGTAACAACATTCAACATTATTACACTTCAGAATGTGTAACGAATTTCGAAATTGGACGCCTCGGTCACAAATATAGAGTCTGATATTATTATCTTTTTTGACAATATTCAAATCAGTGGACAAGAGCAATGGCTGCACAATACATGCTGATATTTCAATAAAGGCTCTGAGTGCCACCAGAAAGACGATATAAGGCGTGATGATGACTTTGGCCTCCGTTCTAGTGATATTATATTACTTTAACGTTCCAGGAACATTGCTGTGATTGTGTATTATCTCAATCCCTTTTGAAATCGACCTAAAATGCTTTTCACTCACCTGTCTACTCTCTCGTGATTACAACCGATTTTCACAAATATTCCCTCAACCTAACAAGGATATAATGTTCTATGTAGCTGCTACAACAACTACAACACCCGGGTCGACAGGTAGGTACTTACTGTCCTCCAACACAACTTTGGCTGATACCTTAACATCCCGATCTATCTGTTCTAGGTAACCTGAATATTTACTTTGTACAGAGAAATAAGAATAAGCATGTTTTCAAACGTTAAATCTTCCATGTCGACAGCTAATGCCTTCACACGTTCCTGGATGTCTCAAAGTTTGAATGGGGACACAGCAATGTGTCCGTCGTGGGAAAAAGAACTTGGAGGCCAGATTCAATGTAGTTTTAAAATGTATCAATGTATTTTGACTTTGGCTGGTAATTAAGCATACTTTGATATAAGTTATCCGAACCTTGATATTTCCCCGTGAAGGAGTATTTATACTATAAATATCTCATATCTTGGAAACTTCATTTGAAACAAAACCGTATTTTCAAAGTCGCATGGCATGGTGCACTCTGGAAAATGCCATACAATTATTCAGCTACTCAAACTTACACCATTTTTTGAAAGCTGTTTCTTAAGGAAACCTTTGAATTAATTCCATTTTTTATTTCTGTTGGCTGTGTTTCATACAAAAAGTACAACGCATTGTTTTAGCATACTTCTCAATCACCTTTGTTGAAAATGCGTCAAATTACTTTCGAGTGTAACTGATGTCGTTTAGTTGAGAACTTGTTACATATACGTGAGTAGTGCTTTCGTATTTCCATTTTTCTATTTAAGAAACAAGTACCAACAATTCTAACAGCAGCATGCAAACAAGCTCACCATCGCCATCGCCATCGCCATCGCCATCGCCATCGCCATCTGAGGGGTCGACAACACCCAAAAGTACCACTTCTACTACTGAATCATCGCCAACAGACCTCACCCTGGGACTTGCTATAGTAGGACTACCAGTATTCATTTGTGTTCTTGCACTTATTGTTATTGCATGCATTCTCCAAAGGAAAAGGCTGAAAAAAATTGGAAAGTAAAATCGCATCAGGAAGCCGTGGTTCTCATAATACAAACAAAGGAGGTCAAGAAATGAGTTTGTCAAAAACCGACCCAGAACAGCAACATGCTGACTGAGTGAGGCCCTGAGCTGCTAACAGTAATGGACTTTCCAGTTGTCTTCACACTGGTGCCTTCCACGATAACTGAAATAATTTTCATAAGCATATGTCTTAGACTTAGTCACTGGTTACATATATGTAACACAAATATTTGTTTTTTTTAATCTTCTTGACGAACAGGCCCAATGTATTGCCTAGGCAAACTCTACCGATTCCCGAGGATATAAGGTTATAATGGTAGGATGTAGGAATAAGCCAATAATCACATTAAACGATACATATGACACTTATCTAAAGGAACCTCGCACTAAAACAGAAATTTCCATGAATAAGTAGGATCTTAAAAGTAGCTAAAGAATGGTACGCGGTTTTTTTAAATCATTTTTTGCTAGGTGCAACAGAAGAATAAATGGACCGGGACTAAAGTAGGACACTAATGCCCGAATCATGTTTAGAAATCCTTTTAGAAATTTTTGATCAAATATGGACTTCAAGGAATTTCCCAACTTCTTGGCGCAATGCCATTGTAGTCGCTATTCCAAAACCTGGCTGAGATCATACTGATCCGTCTAATTACAGACCAATCTCTTTAACGAGTTGTGTCTGTAAAACTATGGAACGAATGGTAAACAATAGATTAACATGGTATCTTGAAACCTTATAACCAATATTCAGTGTGGTTTCAGGAGAAGTCGTAGTACCAATGATCATTTGGTACGACTAGAATCCTTTGTAAAAAATGCAATAGTAAATACACAACATGCCGTATCGATATTCTTTGATCTCGAGAAAGCATACGATACAACCTGGAAGCATGGCATTTTGAAGGATGTACATGATTTTGGTTTGAGGGGTCGTTTACCTCTTTTTATTTCACATTTTTTAACCGACAGACAATTTCAAATCCGAATGAGTTCTACCCTGTCTGACAATTATAATCAGGATCAGGGTGTCATACAAGGTAGTATTTTGTCTGTAACATTATTTAGTATTAATATCAACAGTTTATCCAAGGTTTTAAATGATTTAATCGATGGATCACTTTTTGTGGATGATTTTAATATTTCTTGTCGCGGTAAGAATATGCATACTATTGAACGGCAATTGCAGTTGTGTTTAAATAAAATAAATAAATGGTGTCTTGAACACGGCTTTAAATTTTCGAAATCAAAAACTAATTGCATACATTTCTGCCGTAAATATAAACTACATAAAGACCCACAACTGTTTTTAAACGGCATACCCATCAAAGTTGTCAAGGAGGCCAAGTTCTTAGGTCTGATTTTCGACTCCCATTAACTTTTCTTCTGCATATTAAATCCCTAAAAACTAAATGCCTGAAGGCACTTGATTTATTGAAAGTCAAAGTGGGGAGGGGATCAAGCTACCCTCCTACACCTATATCGATCACTGGTACGTTCAAAACTTGATTATGGTTCCATCGTTTATGGTGGAGCCTGCAAAAGCAACCTAAAACTATTAGATTCTGTCCATCACCAAAGTCTGAGACTTTGTCTTGGGTCCTTCAGGACCTCTTCTGTTGACAGCCTCTACGTCGAGGCTGATGAGCCATCTCTTACACAACGCCGTATATAATTATCCTTGCAGTATGTAACAAACCTATAGTCTAACGACTCTAATCCTGCATTTCACTGTATCTTTAATCCTCTTTATGAGGATTTGTACAACAAGAAATCTTCTCTTGTTCCGCCTCTTGGGCTCAGGATTAAGCCATTCATTACTGCTGCCGGTATGAGCTGGAAAATATCTCTCCTTCCCGTCTTCTTTCTTCTCCTCCTTGACACTTGGTTAGGCCACAAGTCGACCTTACATTCACTAAATGTAAAAAATAAGAAACTAACGACTTACGATATAAACAAAAATATAATCAACTAAAAAGTAAATATACTCCATATAAATCCTTATTTACTGATGGGTCCAAGGATGGTGGCGCGGTTGCTTGTATAAACGCCAGCTGCTGAAGGGATGGTGTAAATCCAACTAGGGTCCATGCAGGCAGCAAAGGTACTGTAAGTCCCCATGGTCTCTAGTATGGTGATCTACCTACAGTTGTTGGCGATCTATAGCCCTTGTTTGATATTGTAATGTCTTCTTTAATTAAAATCTTTTAGTTTGACATGCTAGTTTTAAATTCTAATCTGTGATAATCTAGTTATTTTACTGTCCTTCGTTGACAGGTTTTTACAATTTACCATTACTTACTATGTATACAATTAATTGTTCTCGTCACGATATTATAATATACATATATATATTCCATTTCAATGTCAAATATGTTCTCGTCGCGATATAGCTGAAATATTGCCGATGTGACGTTAAATATTAACTCACTCACTCACTCACTCGAAACGAGTTTAGACTAATCCTGAGCTATAGATAACTTTTTGTGAACAAACTGTTTGGTTTCGTTTTTTCAACCACTCTTTTTTGGTTCAAATGCAAAAAAATCGTTCACAGCATTACGATAAAAAAACATCATGTCACAAAATGCTCCGTCTCTGAAAATATATTATTTGTCGTAACATGCATTTGCACTACTGAATTTTCTTAGAGCTAATGCTATAAGAATCTGCGTGATGTCATTACAATCGTTTAAATACATCAAACTGTTGTGTCCAAGACGGCTATGGTTTCCATTAGCCCCGCTCTCCATGACAACCATCAACATTCCGAATCAATAGCTTCCCATCTAAAGTCGGAACCAACCATGATCAAGTCACTTTTAGTCATCTTGAATATCATGACTTGATAAACCAGTGAACAAGACAACTAAAACCTCAAATGGCTGTTCCCATGAATGATTTCCTCCCCAAATGTTTCAAGAAGCTTTGTAAAACCTTGCTTAAAACCATTGCCCTTTACACGGTTGATCCCACCAAACGTTCTTTCTGTGAACACCCTAAAATATATATCATGTAAATCTTTTCTCATTTCGTGCTAATAAACCGTTTACTTTGATCAGTAGTATATATTCCATTTGTTGAATAAACTGAAACATGTTGTGACCTTAATGTTATGGTTACACTGCCTGCATATTTGACTGTGAAGCTGGATTTTGAAAACTGATGAAGATGAACTACTGTGTACATGTTCCATGTTGTAGGCATGTGTTGGTGACGTATTTGAATCCAGTGTTAGCTTACAAGGCGCTTCCTAATTGCATATATCGATGCTCCTGCTATTGATCACTGTATTGTCTGGTCCAGACTCGATTATTTACAGACTGCTGCAATATCGCTGGAATATTGCTGAGTGCGGCGTAAAACTAAACCCAATCACTTACAAGGTATTATTACTTCAAATAGCTGTCATAAACCATCTTGATAGACAAGCGTCAAGACAATACAAGAAAACAAGGTCATCCAGATCCCGGACCAGTTGTCCGATGTTGATGTCGAAACTCCATAAGACGTGTGCAATGATATGAGACAGTACGAGGGGGTATAAAAATATCTAATTGTCACCAAGACGTATTCAGGGTAGAAACTTTATTTCGATTTCTTGTCCTTAAGACGTTTCTACATAGTCACCTTCCAGAGTTACACATTCTGCCAACGTTTCTTGAACTTGCACAGGCCGCTTGAATAGAAGTCCCCTGATTTCCTGGAAAACCAGCCCTCCACCTCTTCAATGACCTCGTTGGAGTCCACATCGTGGCTCATCTGTGAGGGATATATGACCGGTTTGAAAATGTTTTTCCATCTCACAACAGTATCATAAGATGTGCTATCTTCACCATAAACAGATTTCATCTACACGTGAATCTGCCGGGCAGTGCAACCCTTCAAATGCAAAAACTTGATAATTCTGTGTGCCTCAATTTTCTCCATACATGGGGTTACTCATGATTTGGACGAACAAACACAAGATTGATAAGGTGATGTATATAGTTTTGGTCCATTAACTAGATAAGGATCACTGATGTTACCTTCAAATATTCATAATAATTTCTCAATATATTTGTATATCCCCTCGTCTATGTATATTTGCTCAACTTCTAGTTCAGGCAAATGTCAATATTTTCGTTTGATTCAGTGGGACTTCTTCATTTCATCAAAAATATATGGGAATAAAAGATACTGCCTTATAAATCATTGTGACAATATTCATTCTCAAGTGGACACTCTTGATCTCCAAAATGAACTATATGCGTTCTCTGAAAATACTGCATTTTGGACTACTTGTCCAAATTGTAGAGCTGAAAACGGACGACCGGCCAAAATACACAATACGCCCATTTGGCCGAAAAATGTGTGAAGATTTGTGTCGCCGTACCGGTGGATGCACGCTCTACACATTGTCTTCTGACCTGACCTGCGAACTTGGAACCGACAACAGCGTGGTGACTGAGGACAAGCAGATGTTCCGTGTCAAGGTGAGTTTAAATGGAATGGGTTTCGGATGAATTGCCTTGGCATGCGTTTCTGATGGTTGCAAATAACGGGGTAGGGTGTTCTTCCTTTACGCATGATTCATGAACACTTGATTATGATCTAATTGGAATCATACAATCGACTATCGTCATCAAAGTAGTTTTATAGATTCTAGTAAACAAAATGACAAAATTATTCCAAAACACGTCACAATTTAATTCTGGACTCACAAAAGTCCAGAAACTCTCCGCACTGTGGGCACTTTCTGAGAAGGGATTTGACCAAATTAAACATGCAGTTGTTATGAATATATGCCAAGGATGAAAAAATGAAAAAAATTGTTTTCGAAAACTTTAAATTTAAACTCGCCCGAACAGTGGCCCATGGGCGAGAATGTTTAATTTCGATCAGAATTCATGTTTTGAAGGTTGTCAATGAATGAGTGTATGTTTATAAACATCATGACACATATTTCAACTCATTTTGACTGAATTCGACTAACTTAAAGCGATATTAAGAAATCTCGCTCATGGGCGAAAAATATGTTGGCCCATGGGCGAGAATGTTCAATTTCGCTCAAAATTCATGTTTT